TATATAGACTAGCAATCAACATGGCTGTATCTTAATTATAACCAAAAACCTTCATCTAACTTTACTAGTTTCAAATTTAATTAATTCAAAGCCTTTAAAATCAAAGCTCTATTGAATAAATTACCAACATATTTTTCTTTTCATGATATATATTCAACTATCTTTACAAATACTAACTGCTTTAGATGCAATCTTTCTAACTCTCATTCACATTGGCTAATCTGTCTCAACTCTTCTCTTATTACAAACATTATTAATTCATCAATTTAGTACATTTTATCTAAAGCTAATCTTGATTTATCTACTTGTTAGCTTCATAAACTTATTTGAAAAATTCAAAAACATTCTTCATTTAACTGAATACTATTTTAAGCAAATTCTTTTTATCTTGATCTTACTCTTAAAGGCCTTATATTCAAAACTTTAATTGAAACAATTTATAACTACAATATACTAACTAAAATTGTCTCACAAATCATTATTTAAACATTTCTTGATATTAATAATTAAATTTACAACCAAATATGAAAACCATACTGTATCAACTTCACTAACTAGAAAAAGAATAAAAAATTACATCTCTCCAAACTCGTAATATTTACAATACTTCATAACAGATACAACAAACTAGACTTATAAAAGATCATATACAAACTATACATACTCATATCTATGTGGATCAATTACACTTATGTTCTAATACTTGTCTACCTATTGAACAGACTACACATTACTCTTAATATAACAAACTACTGATATAATGGATATTGCTTAATATAAAGAAATTTAATAGAACAAAATCATTACTAATAAAGTTATTTTGATATATCAAAGATTATTAGTAATCTTGCAATATAACTTATAACAGATTTTGATCTAAAATCACTAGATGCTAATATAATAAAAAAATATTTAATAAACTGGATTTTATTATTAACCTTGCAAATAACAAATTTTATTAGTTATTGCAATTACTAATTAGTGAATTATATAGATAGCTATGCAATATACAGATCAGGAATATAGAATAAATTTAAAGACTATTGTATATTCAAATATCAAAACCTATTTGAACTGTTCCCTAGATAGTTCAACTCTTCTCTAGCTTATAAGTCTAATTTAGAATTAGATCAGTCTAGTTTAGTCTCTAATAAGACCAGCTTTAATAGTATTTATAGTCCAGTTCATTTGTTCCTAGTCTCAAAAATAAGCTATTTTTAAATAAATTATTATTAATTTTAACTATTATTATTAAAATAATAATAGTTTTTTAGCCTCATTTATTATATTTATTATTAACTAGTCTAAATAATTAAAAGACTAGAAACCAAAGACCATATAACTGGTCAAAAAGACCAGTTTTAGTTGGTCTTTTCAAAACTTATCCAACCCTAGTTTAATCTAAATATATATATATGTGTGAAAGTTAATTCCAATTTATTGAAATTAAATAAAAATTTGTGTTATTTAATGTCAAATTTTGTCTAAACATTATCTGAGTTGCTTAAATGACAAAACTTGCTTTAAGGTACAGTTTGTTTAAAACATTTTGCAATCTACAAGATAGTGTAAGGTCAGGATTTAGCAAGTCTGTTGCTCAGTTGTTTCAGTCTTCATGTAACATTTGGGTGAATTTAGTTCAAAATAGGTGTAAAGAATTTGGCAAATGGTTTGGTAATTCGAATTCGTCTTTGGTACATCAAAACTAATCAATAATTTACTCTACTAAACTTTAATGTTCACAATATGTCAGAACAACTAACAAGGGTTCTGGGTAATCTAACTATTGTTAACATAAAACAAACTCTAATTACTAGTCAATGGGTTTCTTAATTAAACAAGTTATTATATTAACAATGGTTTACTACAATCACTTATAGTATAATTAGAAATGCAAATTATTATTATAAATTAATAAAGCAAAGGTTGTTAAGTATTTGTTTATTTATGAGCAGAAGATACTTATATTTATAATTATTACATTATTATGTTTATTAAACCACCTAATCTTCTTAATGACTTAAAGTATCTAAATCACCTAAAATACCTATATAACCCAACATACCTAAAAGACTATTAAGATATATAAGACTAATAGATCTTATAGCTTCTATTCTTGCTATTGAACCTTTAGGCTCTGCTCAATTCTAGCTATTAGAATGCTGTCTAACAGCTAGAATTGAGCAGAGCCTTAGTCTTTAAAGACCATGATCTTCAAATAAGATAGTTGATCATCTTTCATATAAAAAAATTATATGATTACTATTTTTATTATAATAAAATAGTATAGGATTATATACTAGCAGAATGATCTGATATTGTAAAATAATTTTTTTATATGTTGCATACTGGGTGAAGTAACATCAATGGTTCCTCCTGTTTTAGTAACTAATTACATTCTAAAATGATCACTTGAAACTAGTTTTTGTGCCAAATTAGAAGTATAAACTGGTTATTAGATTTAACTTCAAATTTAGATTAACAGCAAACCAAATATGACTAGATGATTTGCATCATAAATCACAAATATTAGTATTGTTTATTTGTATTAGAAACAAACATTACAAATAAATAAAACATGCATAAACACTATAATAACTTAAAATATTGTATATAACTAAATTAAGAAATAGTTTTAGTGAGGAAATAAGGTTTCAGTTCAGTATAAATAATAACAATATTAATAATTCAAATTGGTTTAATGCAAATTAGTACACAATTAGGAAGTACAGTCAGAACTCCTTAAATGCACTACTATAGGAAAAAACTTTGAAACTATGCATTTAGAGTGAGTGTGCATTTATAGAGTAAAAATTATAAAGAACTCTTATGAGTTGGGACCAGACCATGCCATGCATTTAGAGAGTTTTTACTTAGTCCATGCATTTATGAAGAGTGCAGTTATAGAGTTCTGACTATATCTAGAAGGGTTAATAATGTATTAAAAAAAAGTAGTATAATACTTATTGTTTTGAGTTATCGATAGACAATTAGTAGATTAATTAGCAGAGTTCGATTAAAGAAAAATCAATAAATATATATAATTATTAGTGAGTTAAATATCATATAAGATGTTATATAATAATTTATAATGTAATCAATTAAGAGTCAAATGTAATATATATAAAGAATAAGAAAATAAAGTTAATTACAAAAAATATACTAGTAAAGGGTCAATTGAATACTTACCTACTTACTTTTATATTGAGACATTGATAACCCCTTAGAGACTATTATAATTTGTATTAGTAGTAATAAAAGCCAATAATAAAAAAAATAAGGTTTCAGAGTAATATTTATTCCTGTATCTAAATAATGATTAAATGATTAGTGATAATAGTAAAAGTAAAATTTCAATAACATAAAGCTCATAATAATAATACTTAATATAGAATACAGTAGTATGTAGCAGTAAAAAAAAATAAAGGGTCAAAATTAGATAATAATTATACTTTACTGAATAATTTCTAAACTGCATTATTAAAAAAAAAAAAACATATATATATATAAGTTATACTTATCCAAGTCTTATATGTTAATTAATTGTATTCATTATAAATAAAGTTAAAAAACATACAGAAAACTCTAATATAAAAAAAAGAATTTCTTTAACCAGTGCACAAAAAAAGAAATTATGTCAAAAGAAACACAATAATCCAAATTTAAAAGGTGTAGAGTTAGCTAAAGAGTATAGAATAAGTGAGCAATCAGTATTCAATATTTTTAAGCTTCTGAATACTAGTTAGGCCTTAACAATGCTTCTATCTTAATCCAAGATAAGCATCAAAGAAAGTCTGATTATCCTAATATTGAAGAGGCATTGTTTATTTGAGTTGAACAAGAAATTAAAAATAAGCTTACTCTTATAGGTTATTTTCTTCAAGCCAAAGCTAAAGAATTTGCAACTTTATTTGGAATTACTGAGTTTAATGCATCTGATGGCTGGCTTTTTAATTTTAAAAAAAAGGAATTCTATTTCTTCATATCAATACAGAGAAGAAGCTGGCAGTGTATCTTTGGAAAATGTTTTAAATTTTTGTATAAAGCTTTAAAATATTCTTTAAAATTATGAACTTAGAGATATATTTAACTGTGATGAGACAGCACTTTATTGGCAACTTGAGCCAAACAGGACACTTGCACATGATTCAGTTTTAGAAACAAAAAAATCAAAAAATAGAGTTACACTTATGATTACTTATAATTCTACTGGTGATTAAAAACTATTAATTCTTTTTATTTATAAATACCAAACACCATGTGCACTTTGTGGTATTAAAAAAATTTTTCTTCTTGTTTGGTATTACTAGAATAAGAAAGGATGGATGCAAAGAAGTATATTTAGCCATTTTTTAGAATAATTTAATAGTTGAATGAGACTTGCTCAATGAAACATTATTTTACTTCTTGATAATGCTTCATCACATAATTTAGATGATCAAAATTTATCAAATATATATATACATTTTTTACTACCAAACACAACAGCTTATCTTTAGCCTATTGATCAAGGAATTGGCTATAACCTCAAAGTAATTTTTAAATAATTTTATAATTTTTTAGTTAGGTCATATAAACTTAATGAATTGGTTTTCATAACCCAGCCAGGTCAAATTTTGAAAACTTTCAAAAAAAATTTTATAATATTTTATAAAATTTTTACATATAAAAATTAAAAAAAAGCTAGCTGGCTAGCTGAGTCTGATTTAAAATTTCTTGTTATAAAAGTCAAGTAATTAAATTTGTATAGCCTTATTTAAAAGTTATACTTACTTATTTTTTTGTAGGTGCAATATCGATGTATTTTGTATCAAAACCATCTTGAAGCTTATAATGCAATTACTAAAGACAATCTGACTTCTTCTAATATTACTATATACAATGCAATCAATTTTGTAGCTCAATCATAGAAATATGTTACAGCAAATACAATTATTCGTAGCTGAAGTAGAGCTGGAATACTTCTACCTACAGAAAGGTTTGATAATAACCTTATCTCAATGTCAGAAGAAACTGAAGAAACTAATTTGGAAGAAATTATAGATCTTATTGAGCTTTTACTAATTAATGATCCTTTAGATGCACAAGAATATATAGAAATTGATAATTATATAAATATTGAGGAGGATTTAACTACAAATAATATTGTTGATTTAGTAAATAGACAAGATAAGTATGAATTAGAAGAAGAACAGAATGAAGTAGTAGTTAAAATTAGTGATGTGATTGTGGAACTTGATAACTTGTTAAAATATATTTAGCAAAATAATTTAAAAATTGCTTTATCCTTAATGAAAGATTTATATAACCTTAAAAGATATATAGTTTATTTGCATAATGAAAATAGGAAACAAGCTATATTAGAAGAATTTATTAACCTTACTGATTAGAAAATTTTTTTATTCTTCAAATAGTTAGTTAGTAACACAAATATAAAGTGCAGTTTTAAAATTGATTAAATATAAATATATATGTAGTTAAATTTTTATATGATACTATATTTTATATAAATAATTATTTCTATTTTTTACTTATAAATTACGCTAGCTTTCTTTATTTCTTAGTCTTTATTGATAAAAAACTTTATTTTAGTAGTAAAAAAAATATCTAGTATTACAAATGAACGTTTTAATATCGTGAATTGATCTGGCATTCTTTTGAAAAATTCTAAATTGGTAAAAAAAATATTTTTATTTTCTCATAGCTATTTAAATTTTATGCTAGTTTATTAAGTAGACAATACATATCCAATTAAAATCTAGCAAATCAAGCTTCAATTTTAGTTTCTAATGATTACAATATACATTTGTATTCTGAATTATTTGTAATTAGTTTGGTTTCTAATATCTTTGGCTCTAAACATGCACTTAAATTTCTATGACAGGTTTGTATTGGATATAGTCTTTTTTATTCGATTATGTAAAAGATCACTGTTTTACTTACTTTTTATGCATTATCGTTATTACTAATCAGTATAAACTATATTATTAATATTAAACTCTGCATGCAAACAAAATATTCATAGAATTTTTGACACTAGTTTTAATTAATTATGTCATATGTTCACAATTCTAAATAATATTGTCATAAATTTTATAATATAAAAATTAGCAGTAATATTTCTTTTTATAATATAAACAAATATTTTTTTAGTATATACTAGAGATGAGCATCTTGTACTTATTAGTGTGCTTAATTGTTATATTGTTAATATTATGAGAATTATATTGAACATTAATGTTTACATAAGTTATAATATATAACAATTAAGTAGATGTCACTGATAGATACAAGATAGCATATTTCTAGTAGGTTCAATTTTTATTTTCTTAATATAGTAAAGATCTATATAGTTTATTATAATATCCGATATATAATAAAATTTTAATTATATAGAGCTTTTGATATAATGGAGTTAAAAACTAAAACCATGACCTTCATTATATTGAGAGTGACATATAGTATATTCTCATATAGTATTAATTAATGTAATTGAAATAAAATCTTGTATAATTGTGTATATATTTGTATGATTTCTAATAAGGTTATTTGGAAAAATACATAAATGATTAATAAGTTTGTTATATAGCTCTTGTAATTATGTAGTTGTTATGTCTAGTCGTGAGTTGTTAAAGAATTATGTATTGTGTTAATAATAATAGAGTTCAATATATATGAGTTTGAACATATTAGTCAGTGTAACTAACTGTCATATGTATTGCATGAAATGTAGTATTTATTTGGGTATATTGTTGAATAAAGAAAGTGAAGGTAAGATAGTGTAAGTAGTATTCTTAATATAAGTTTAATTTTAAAGGTTTTTTTATAACATAGGCTGAAGCTAGTATAAGATATAAATTTTTTGTAATTGTTGTTAAAAAAGAGCCAAGTGGCTTCTTAGTTAATTAGTGAAGACAAAGGTAAAATATTTTCCATTTGGTGTTGAGAGAACCACATTACTATATTATAGACATTGCTAATGTTTTTAATTGTTCTACATACAGGTTGCTCTATAGGATATTTGTCATAGTAGAGTTAGTATAATAGATTGTATATATTGTTATAAAGAATAGTAAGTATATGTGATTGGTTTGGGTTTTTGGCTAATTTGTCAGCTATGTTGTTAAATATGTTGTTACTATGTGCAATTACTTTTTAAAAGTTTATTTGAATTCAATATGCAGTAATAAAGTTGAGTAATATATGCCATATTGGCCAATAGTTATAAGAGTATTGTTTGTTAGATATAGGTGGTGATTGTATAAGTTTGTTATATTTGAAAATAATAGATTGTAAATCTGTATATATTGTTATAGTACTTATTTTTGAACAGGTAGTAATTGTAAAAAGGATTGCTATAAGCTCTGTCTTATATGATAAGGGCCAAAGTTTGATTTTTGCAGAGTATTGATGCAAAATAGTTTCATATTAAGGGTGTGGCAACTTAGTGAAGTGGATAAGTTGTCAACCCTCCAAGTGGTAGGTTGGGAGTTCAAAACCTACTGACGATGAAAATTTGGAAAACTACCTATGTTATATTGGTATATATGGGCATCTGTGCAATGCTAGAGTTAAACAGAGGAATGCAAACTGGCATTGGACAGTGCAAACACAAGATAAGTTCTTGAAACCAGTACTACGGCAATGGCTATCTATCGATCAGTTGGGATCAGTACCTGTAACATGGTAACACCAGATAACTAGCAAGTCATAGGGCATCTGTGGCCATGTAAATCTGTAAACTGGGATAACCGAAAGCCCACTTGGAAAGACCTGAGTAGAGAGGTAACATGGATCTTTGATAGTACTACTATAAAGGCTAGACCTAGGAAACAGATACCAATGTGGAAGGAATCAGGCAGGCAAGAACCTCGGG